TGGACGGGGGAGGGAGCTCTGTCTGCTCAAACCACCGTTGTCCGTGTTGATTCACAATCTTGGCCAGGACGCGTGGTAGCGTCCACAAAAGGACCACACCACGCCACTTGTCCATGGAGTTGAAAGGCTCTTTTTGTTCCAAAGTGGAACCTGGAGGCCGGCCCCATCCAGTCCCTGAGTGGTCCATTGATCTGCTGGTGTCCGCCGCAACTCACGTACCAAATTCGAAACAAGGGAGGCAAGTTGGGAATCGGTAAATAGTGTTTTCAAAACAATGGGTGGCAGACCATCTCCTCAAGGTTTTCACCGCAGTCTGGACTTCTTCATCAGTAATATCTTGATCAAGAGACAAAGACAACCGACGGACTTCAGCACTGACAGGCAAGGTGCCGATAAAGTCGCATATGTCAGGGGTGAGGAATTCAGGCTCACTGCTGATGGTGGAGAAGTGGTCTCGCCGTTCTTCTGGACTGAAGGGGTTTTGCCTGCCCATGCCAGAGGATTTGCCTCGATATGGAAGGGATCGCAATGTCTGAAAAAACTGGAACGAGTTGGCCACTTGAGTTGGGTGGTCGGCCAACATACCGTCCCAGTAATCTTTTTCGCTTTTTCGAGCTGTCGTTGCAACTGCCGCTGTTGGCGTTTGGCGTCACGATGCTGTGTTCTCACAGAATCAAGGTCATCAAGGAGCTGCTCGTTGTTGGGGTTGGTCGTCAAACGAGCCTGCAAGTCATGCTTCTGTCTGCGCAACTCCCGACATCGATTGTTGAGAGGCAAGATGAGGTCACTGGCCGCTTGTGTGCGAAGCCGAGGTTGCCGCCCTGACCTTCTAGTTTCCCCGCACACTTCTAAAGCTTTCTGAGAAGCAATGGCACGCAAACGCGGGTAGGTGACCGCATCCGGTTGAGCACCAACGGCTTCGCGGACCTGATTCGTCAAAGTGGTTCTCGCCTCGCAAGCAGCCTGAGAGTTGCCTCGCAGGACCCGAAGGTCGGGCTTGGGGACATGATGTCGAAACCCTTGACGTTGGGTCTGTTCCAATCGAAACACATACTCTTTCGCCGAGTGTTGAGTATGCAATGGACCCAGCGAATGTCGAACAGTCATGCTGACCACGCGAGACAAGTGCCGGCGGGCAATCAACATCCAATCCAGTTCGTAATGCTGCCGGTGGATACTGGAGTGCCATGTACAGCGATGTCTGTTGCCACTAGGCGCCCTAAAGCTGTCCGCCAAGATCCAATCATCGGGAGAAGCAACTTTATCATATATGCATACTCATCCAGCATGTGTCGAAAAGGGGGGTCGAAACCGACCGACGATGTTCGATGTCAGCTCAGCGTCGGGTTCATACAATTGTGCATTGAAGTCGCCAGCCAAGACATGGGGTGTCACGTCATTCAATGCAGTCACGAGTCGGCCGACAGGTCGGAAATGACCCTCACGTCGTGTGGCAGCAGTGACATCGTCCCAAAACTCATCAAGTTGTTCAGTGGTGGAGGTGGACACCGGGGCCCACACAGCTGTGACAATCCAAGGGACCGGTTGCGCGTGAGTTTCAGGGTTAGGGTCCCGAGGCAAAACAATGGATAGAACACGCCCTGAGGAAAACCTGTGCTTAGGGGCTTGATTAGCATGCCATGCATGGCTCCATTTCGGGGTTAAGCAAAATGCCCACGAATCCAGTGTGGATCAATTCCCAGCCTTCCCACTTCCAATGACGACATTGAACTGGAGCTGCTTGACGAGCATTCCTTGCCGCAGGGTCGCGCTCGGACACTAGGGTTATCTCCCAGAGTGCTTCAAGTTTCTCAGGGTTACTCTTTGACATTGCCTATCCGAACATAGCCCGATTGAGCGGGCGCCATGATGTGGGGCAGTTGTTGCTGATCCATGTGTGCTGCTTCCGCTATGCGCTGTTCTCTTTGCACTTTATTCCATAGCATTCTTCTCTTCAGCTGTCTTGCTTCTGCTTGCTTTTGTTGCATTCTTAATTGATGGCGTTCATGCCTACGTCGATTACGGCGGCTCTGCATATCTGGAACATGCCTGGATTCCAATGGGGGACGAAAGCCACTGGAACATGAGCGACTGTTGCTGCTAGGGTCGAGTAGGGCCGCAGCAAACCCCCTATACTCCCATGGGAAAATCATTCGAACTGGGTTCAAAGGGCACAGCGCTAGAATCCGCTAGAAGACATTGCAAACGAGGCACTGCTGGCAGGAGAGACAAAAGAAACGTTGCGACCTCCTGCGCCTTTGTCGAGCTCAAAGGTCACCATTGTCAGTAACTATAAGCTCGTCCGCTGGATCGCCTGCGAGGAGGACCATGAACCCGTGTAGATCCAGCGGAGTACATTGAGTACATGTCCTACAGCGCGCCAAGCCGGTCCACCATATCGAGTGGTGGGCATCTTGCGCGAAATCTATTGTTTAACGTCCATGTGCGTTCACCTGGCTGCGGAGGTGGTAGGTCAAGACTTCCGTCGCCTGACCGGTGCCTGGCTGGCGAAGCCAAGTCTTCGGTCTCGAGGACAATGGAGTTGTCTGCCATGAGTATAGTGCCGCTCCTCGGTGAGTGAACGGAATCTTGAAGGCTGGTAAATTCTCACGCTGAAGAAGTGTAACAGACCAGTTGGGTGAAAGGAACGTTAGTGAGCGTCCTCGGTCTGAAGTTTCGAGGCGGCACTCCTCCTGCACCGCCCACCTGCCACTACCCGAAGCCTCGCCATTATCGTCTCCATCGCCGTCAGGCGGAGGAGGATCGTCGGCCTTCTTACTCCGAGACCTGTTTCAGAGGGCCAAGATGAAGCATCTGTTTGGCAATTCCTGCGGTGCTAGTGGGTTCTACGAGTCCATAGCCCCTGCACACTCGAGATGTATGCGTTGCAGCCATGACCATTGGAGATGTATGCGCTGCAGCCATGACCATGAGCCGTATCCATCATCTTCTTCAAGTACCAGAAACAGGTTCCTTGGGATTTTGAACGAATGGCGTGAGAAAAGCAAGCAAACCAGCCGCCGCTGCAGACTGTACCTGAGCAGCAGTTAGCGCCTTCTCCGATCAGTTTTGCTCCTGTTGCCGTGTGGACACGTATGGCCGGGGCTCCGCTACCAACACGACAGAATGTGCGCGGTAGCAACTGTCAACGCTAATCACTAATCAAGCAACACGCGGTGTTCCAAGAAAGTGCAAAACAACTGACTGCTCGAAGCTCAAAACGAAAGCGACTCGGGTCAAAACACGGCGTGTCAGTGAAACAGGTGAAGGCTCAGCGGCCGTCTTGACGTGATACGGCCACATCCGAAAGGATCTCAGCTCTGTTCATGATCATGCTTTTCAGTGGGACAGGAAAAGGACAGGAAGAGGACAGGAAAAGGCATGGCAAATGAGGGAACGCTTTGCCAAGGCTATCGCTTCGAGCGCGACATTTTCTAACCCAGGAAGCTGCCATGTCTTCCTGCGCTTGATATGACAAACCCTGCAACGGATGAGGTGAAGACTGAGGGTCCTGGACCCACGAATTCCTCCCAGGGCTTGCTTTGGCTCTCTGCCTCGCGTCCTTGTGAAGCTGCTTGAGTTTCTTGCGCATGGAGGTCTTTGCAAAAGCCCAAAACAAAACACGCGAAACCATGAAAATCCGCCAGCACAGAAGGTGTTGAGGCATTAAGCTGTCAGTCGCTTGTTCACCCCCTATATAGCTTGAGCTGGAGGGCGGGCCTTCTTGTTTGAAAACGGAAATGCATACTCTGCATCTTGAGGTGTGTCTGGGAGAGGAGCATGGAAAAACACAGTGCTTTCACATACAATGTGTGTCCGACTAAAAATCTTTCCTTAGCGTATCATTTGCATCACCGAAGGGAAAGAGCAAGAGGAAGAGAAAGTGAAGGGGAAAGGAAAAGAAAGGAAAAAAAAGAGGGACAAAGAAAGGGAAAGGGAAGAGACAGAGAAACCGAAAGAGAAAGAGAAAGAAAGAAGGAAAGCGAAAGAGAGCGAGAAAGAGAAAGAGAAAACGAAAGGGAAAGGCCAAGCGAAAGCGAAAAGGAAAGGGAACGAGAAAGAGATAGCGAAAAGGTAAGAGAAAGGGAAAGGGAAAGAGGAAGAGAAAGCGAAAGGGAAAGGTGAAGGGACAGGGGAAAGGGAAAGGGGAAAGGGAAAGGGAAAGAAAGGGAGAGCGAGAGAAAGCGAGAAAGAAACGGAGACAACCGGCTGGCGCACCATCCTGCTACTTCCTGTTCTTCTTCCCCTTCCTCTTACCTTCGGGTCGGCCAGTGCCCGGCTGTCAGGCGTAAGCCTTTTGATACATCCAACAATGCTTGCGCAATACAAGTAAAATATAACTAAACGATTATGGAGACTTCTTTTACCCTCTCTCTGAGAAACTCTGGCGCGGGTGGACGCCGTCGCGAAGCGATCCGAGTACAACAACAAAACGGTTGGCAAAACAAAGAGGTTCCTGTTAGAGCAAAGGAAAAGTCAGCTCCTGCACGCTTTGCACAAACGGCACCGTTCCACTCTTGTTGCAAACCTGCATGCAGAAAACTTCTAACATGGTCACCTTGTGCCTAAACATGCGGCGTGTCCATGATGGGATGGTTCTCAATGTTCCTCCATCCAGGTCAAAGGCAATCACGATGGTAAGTGAAAATGCTCTTTGGAGGCACCTCGCCCACATAGTCGTGATTTGCCTTCAACCACATTGCCGTGTATTTTCACAATTGCCCGCTTCGTTGACATGTGACGTATTCAAGCTCAAGTGCCACTTGACAAACGTTGTTTTGGCAGGTGCAATTCCACACTGCAAGTGGAAGGACGCCAAATCTTTACCACCATCGGGTAAGCGTGAGCCGGCGCTGTGGCCAAGCCAAGCACGCCGCAGCAGAGTGTGGTTTACTTTTGCACGTGGCCTCAGAAGAGATAGAAAGATGAGGTTTTCAACCCATACCTTCCTCCAATTTTCATATTTGTTGTTGCCATCATTTACTGTCTTTTTCATCATCTCACCTACCATGGTCACCGACAGAGCAGCGCAAACGGCTCAGCCAAGTTCTGGGCCAAATCGCGACATGCCATGGGCGTGAGCAGCTTTGGCCGTTTCAGTGGCCATGATCCAACACGAGCTTGAGGCACGTACCGCAATCAGCAAGCATAAAGTGTGCTTGCGTGTGTGTTTCTTGGACTTCTCATAGGACTGCAGCGAGCTAGATGAGTTTGGGTGGGATCCTATGGTGGACGACTACTTGGAGTCTTGCCAGCACTGCGTCTCAATTTTGCATTGGTTGATCTTGGTCCCCGTGCGTAGAGGAATCTTTGGTAGAAGAGGCACGCAGTGAGACAGGGGCTGGCTCAGACAGCTTGCGGGCCAAGCAATGGGTTTTGTCAGGCCGACCATACGGAGGAAGGCAAAGTTGACTGGGGGTTGATTTCCTTGCAATTTCTCGAGGCTTGGCCGAATTCAATCTTACAAGGAGACGGGAGACAGTCTAAGTCTATGCCCCCGCGCCGTTATTTTTTCGCAGCCAAGGACACACTGGATCCAACGCAAGATCAGGCATTTCTGAACGCAATCCACGATGTGTTTAAAGAAACATGTATGTATATATATATATACGTACAGCTCTTGTTTGGCAGGTTTGGCTCAGCGCCTGCAATGTTTCTTCATTTACCAAGCAGCTTTGCTGTGAGGGGTTCCCAATTCTCGCATTGAAGCGATCTTGGGCCAAGATGATTTCCGGCCTCTTGTATCCTTTTGTCTCCTTAATTGCGTAATCCTTCTGCGCTGAGATGATTCTGCTTTTGTCCCTTCGTTTCCTTTTGTCTTCCTGTGTCTCCCAGGCTCTTTTGGGCGCGGCTGGGCTGAGAGCAGGTGTAATCTGTCTTTGTTCTCCTTTGTTGTTGATGCCGTTCTGGCTGAAACGATTTTACTTTGCCTCCTCGCAGTGATGGGTGCGATGATTCTGATTGTTTCCCTTTGTTTCCCGTCGCTCTTCAAAACTGGCAGCATAAACTTTCAAGGTTCGCTGGCCATCAAGCTCCTGCTGCTTTCTGGGGTCGATGCTAGTGTAACTCGTCCATAACGATGGAGGCCCGGGCAGATGAACATCCGATTTGAAACTTGTCGACCGACTTTCTGTCCTCTGGTATCAGATTGTTTCTTCCACTCACTAAAGCAAGGCTTGTTCCATCCTACGTTTATCATGCCCCCCAAGCTGATGATTGTGAACTTGTCAGCCAGACACTAGACAAGAGTTTTAGACGCAGTTCAATGTGTGTGCGTGCCCCTTGTAGTCACAGGGATTCTTTTGAATTGTTTTTGTTTTCTTCAGCAGGGGGACTGGAGCCGATTTGCCTATCCAGTCCAACGAAGCTATGGCATTTCGGTGGATGAGCGGTCTGATCAACCACTTGTACCTGCACAATTTTTAACCTTTGGTAAAGGGCTAATGAGTTCGGCAGATGTGCACGGACCGCCGTCATCTTGTTCGACCCGTGATCGTCGATTGGTTTCTTCCGCTTTGGGCCACCTCTCCTTTTGAAGACCTCCAGGATCCGTGGTTCTTACTTAATGGTACCCTAGGCCGGCGTGTGGCACCGCTGTCAGTCAGTACGCATATGAGTCCGGGATGAGCCCGTAGAGTGCCTCCCGTGGACCCGTCGAACGGGTGTCTGTCTTTATCTCCCCCTGCTCGGAGATGTACGTGCCCACAGCGGGCGTAGGTGGCCTAGCCGAGAGAACTCAGATTTTTGCCTCATCTTTGCGACTTAACTTAGTATCTCAGTGCGATAGTGCGATGAATACCTCCCCTCCTTTTCTCGCCATGTCCCCCTCACCCGCTGGCTTGGCGCCGATGGAGGGCATCCCTATGACGGCTCAGGCAGTACTACACCGTGAGATTCTCCACGTGCACGCCTTTTTGGACCACGCCCCCACCCTTCTTCGCACTCGCTTGGCAATCTTCTCCCTTCCCTTTATGGAACGTATTACTTCCCCTCATCTTCAAGTACAACTTCGCGGACTTGACTCTGCAATTCGGCAGGCGACACAAGCCACCCACACCGCTCTCCACTATACCCACGAGTTGATGACTACCTTTGGGCTGATTCACACTTTGTATTTCGACGCCGCTCAATTGGAGGCTGAACTACGTGGCACTACCTCATTTCGAGATCATCGAATTTCCCCACCCCGTCCTCCACCCCGTCCTCCATCCTCTTCGACTACAACTACGTCCACCCCGACTTTACGACGTCTTCATGGACTCACTGCCGCGGACGACGACTTCTACTACCCGACCCTCTCGTGGCATCGCCGTTGCTACTTCGACAGGACATCGTTCCCGCGCCGAGCCTCAGTGGCACCTTGGACCGCTCCCGTTCTCGTTCTCGCCTGAATCCGCGGGATCCCTAGTTTCACCCACTTCGATGCTACGCCTGCATTTCAAAAGAACCTACCTTTTTTTCTCTCATCTTTGAATTTGATACCACTTCGATGTACTGAACTTGTCTTTCTCACATTGGATTCCATTTTGATTCCCCTTGATTCCCTTGGCTCCAGCCCATTTCCCGTACTTGTGTTATCAGGCTGGTGACATCGTCCCATCCTCAGCTGTTTCTTAGCCACCGCCGCCATGCACTACCCGGATTCGACGCCTGCGACTCCGCCTGACCCCTCCCCACTTCTTCCTCCTGCTGGCTTGGCACCGATGGAGGTATTCCTATGACGGCCCAGGCTGTGCTACATCGCGAACTATTTCATATACATTCTTCCTTGCAGCTGATCCTCACCATTCTTCGTGGCCCTTGGGAGTTGGCTCCCCTTTGGCTCCAGTCCATCCACGTCCCCACATCGCTGCCCCAATCGTGTGATGCCATCCCTCCCACGACCAGTCCAGGCCAGACTACGCCCCCTCTCTTTCAAGCGCTTCAGCGTACAGGTGTCCCAGCTCCGCCACAGCCATCGCCGCCGATGATGCCACCGCTGACCAGTCTCAATACAAATCACTTATCAGACAGCCAACATGGCCATTCAGCACCTGCAGCAAAATCAACGAACACATCGCGCATGGGCTCGCTAGGGCGTCTACTACCTCCCCAACTATGACCCCGATGGCGCACACCGGATGAGCCTTCCACCACCCAAGGGACTCCCTTGGACATCGGCCAGTGCTAACACTTAACGCCGCCGCCACATAGTCACTACCTGACGCGGCGGAAAAAAGATGTCCATTTTCTCATTGGCATTCGATCCATGAACACGCTTGTGTGGACTCTCAACGGTTTCACCGTCGGTTTCTTTTGAGGATTTCCCCAGACCTCTTAGACCTTTTTCACATGGAGATCCAGGTCCCACACTCTCATTCAACCGTTTCCCTCACCTCTCGCCCATGACTCAAGCCGCGTACCCATCACTAACTGTTGTGTTTCCAGGCATTTCTATCCGACGCTCGTGATACATTCACGATGGAGCAGTACTACTAACTATGATTGTTATCAACAACAGGCTGGCGCAACACCAATTGGCCAGCAACAGCACGCGGCGGCCACGGGATACGTCCCCTCGGCAACACAAGCAGCGACCACGGGCTACGTCCCTTCAGCAACCACCTACGGGCCCATCAGCCATGCTATCCGCGCTTCAGGGCCGAAGCCCTGCGATGTTCTGCTTTCTACTCCACGCGGTGGGTTGGACGCCTTTGAAATTGATGAGTGGCAATAATATTGGCATCCCAATGGTCCTCGGTTTGGCGCCAGGCGGGTGGGATAGGTGGGCTGGCGAAGGGGATGTCGGGAGGTGGCGGAGTAGCTGTATGGCGAGGTGGTGGACAAAATCGGCTGCCGGAGAGGTCGGTGTGGCAGCCATAGGGGACGTTGCCTGAGGAAGTGGAGGAGGTAGGGGTGGAGGAGGAGATAGAAATTCCTGCGATGTGGGGTGGGAGTTGGTGTGGCGGCAGCCCGTTTTCCAACTCTTCGCCTGGCTCTTGGCATTTCATGGCACCTCCGGCCACGACCCTCTCCAACGAACAGCAAGTATACACCAGCCTAGTACCCACGCGATCCATTGCCGAGTCCGTGTTTCTGACCCACCTCACCCACTAGCTTCGTGAACAACACATCGACCTGGACGGAACAGTTAACAGCTGGCCAAACCCCACGAAGCCAAGGCTTTCATGCAGCCACTCATGGACGGCATTCTCGAAGCCATTCGGAGGCACGCCCCAGCCCCAGCCGAGGGCAGCGCCATTTGCCAGGTACGCACTAAAGACGAAGAACTGCAGCGAGCGCGGGCCAAACTTCAACCCATGGACTAGATCTCTCGCCCAACAAGTCATCCGCTCGCTGTTCCAGCACTCTCCCGCTCTTCAGCTGCATCCGCTGCCCAGACGCGATGAGTGCGGCCCAAGTCTTGCAGCCGCTCCCAAAGACGACGTCCCCACCAAATGGTCCATCCAGCACATTGGCAACTGGGCCAAGCAATTCGACGAGGCCATTCAGGACTTCTGAGATTTTGAAGCTCCTACAATCGTCCGGCGCCACTGAAAGCAACTACAGGAAGCAGCCATTCGCTACGGGATCCCACTCAGCAAGGTGACTCGCCTCCCAGTCAAGAGCCTGCTTTGTGGCCTGCTGACTTGCATCCACAGCTCGCGGCGAGGGCCTACAGCAACCACACTTCAGAACATTCGCAAATTCCACAAAGCTATAGCTACACTCATACACCAAGCCAAGTTGACAGAGCCGAGGCCATCTACAGTTTGGGTTTACTTCACCTCACAGCACTCTTTTCGTTTGCCTCCAAATCTTCCGATCGCCCCAGTAGCGCCAGCGCTTCCAGCGACTTTCCACCCACCCTGATACTTACACTTTCTCTCGCTTCATTTCATCCAACTTAGTGTACCTCAAACTGCACTTCAACTCCTACGACGCTTACCGCCAATACCATCAACATGGCCACTTCTATGTGGGCTCTACAGCCATCGGCGTCCCGCATCGGGAACGCAACCGACGAGCCAAGCTCAAACAACTCGCCAACAATACACCCATATCCGCTGAGCTACCCTTGGCACTCCACAGGCACCATCACCCAACTCCACCATTCACATTGCCACCGATTATGATCAGGCATGGTCCACGAGCACCTGCACATCTCACAATTGGCAACCTACGCCCAATTGGCCATTCATTTCCCAGCACCTCAAGCTGAAAGCCGACGGATTGCAATTCAGCCGCCGCCGAGCACGCTCTACCCCCGACTAGCCAATCACCCCCGCCTTTTTCGACGTCTCCACACAGTACGACAACCCATCCTGTACACATCTCACAAACTACTTCGGGACCTCGCCAAGCTCACCAAGGCATCCTACGATGCCACGCGCAGACTACGTTCAGGTCAATCATGGCCACCAGCCTAGAAGAACCATCCCATTCCCAACCAAATACGCAACGATGGCTTGCCACTATCCTGCATCAACGCAAACACTACGCCATACTTTTCCACCTTCCTACATGCAAGCTACGGGAAGCAGCCCGCGTGACCCTCCGCGGCAAGCTCCACAACCATCGAAGATGGGAAAAAAGTTTCACGCGACCGCGACATGAAGATCAACTTCCGTGCAGCTGCTCCCACCCTTCTCAAGCCTGATCACCCCGCGCCCAGCGACACTCACCTCATTGTTACGTTGGAAGACCTTCAACTGCCGCCCCATTTGCAGCGCTTTCTGGGGGCCAACATGAACAGCACTTTCTTTCCCACCAAACATCAATACTTCGAAACCTTCCACAAGGCCATCGCCCGATGGCTCAAGCGCCACGGCCTGTATTGGCCACACATACGGAGGCCTTCCCCGCCGACCAGTGGAAGCGACGCATCCACCACTTACATCAAGAATCCAGATTCACGGCGTGATCCATCAAGCAACTCCAGCAATTTTTGGGCGACCAAGTGGTTCTCCATCATTCAGATCACGAACTTCAACGCCTCCGCATTTTCTGTCCGCAGATCTATTTCCGCGGCTGTCTCGCCGCGTGGCAGTCGCCTGAGCTCTTTCGACCTCTACAGAGCACCACCAACATTTGAGCTCTTGTCCAACAAGCCTTCCCAGGCCAGCTCCGCAAGAAATACAAATGGGGCTTCCGCACCAACTTCACCATGCCCTACGGTGTGGTTCACCTCAAAGCCAAAAAACATTGGAAGAAAGGCAGCGCCATCATTTCCTACTTCCAGTCCCATTACAGCACCTTGCTCTGGGGAACATCCACTGTTCTCAACACTATGATTTTCAGACTTTTGCCCCACGCACCAGGCCAACTTTCCATCCCCCAGCTTTGGCGTCACTTCCACGACTACCTCCAACACACTCCTGATCGCATCGACTTCTATGCCATTAACGATGACCGCAAGATCGGCTGCTAGACGCCGTCCAAAGCCTCACCGCCAAATGGCAGCTCACTTTCGACACTCCCACCCTCACCATTGACCTCGGATCAAAGCCACAGGAGATGATCCTCTCCAACTATCACATGTCGGCCAACGCCACAGACGTCACCCCTCACAACGCACCATCGACGCCAACGACGTCGTAACCATTGTCAAAGTTGCGCTAGACGCCTGTATTTTCCAAGCATGTACTACATACTTTCAACAGGTACGAGGAGGGTATTGGATCCCAACTCTCTCCAGCTCTGTGCAGGCATCAGCTCCACTATTCCCTCACCGACCACACAGAGATCTACTTCACCTATTACCGCTACGTCGACAATCGCTTCATCACCTTCAACCGCACCTTCTTCGATCACATGGGCATCCAAACCCTCATCCACCCGGACTTCTTTGGCAACCTAGTCGAACTGCGAACCAGTTGATGATATTCACCTCCTCGGCTTTGACGTCGACCTCAACCAACGCACCATCACCTACATCCCACCGAACGCCACCATGCTTCAGCCGGCTCCCACCAGAGCGCACCACATTCGCAACTACACCTACCCGGCCTCGGCAGCTGAACGAGGGCTTGTTCATCTTGCCCAACTCTACGCCCAACAAGGGCATGACCTAGCAGCTTGCTCGCGAGCCATTCAAAAGGGCCGACCTACCTCCCAACCGCCGCTGAGACCTACCCTTTCCGACCTCCACCCATCCCCTCCACCCACAGTGCGCCGAAATGACGGCTTTGGGTGTGTGTCCACACCTGTTTCCAAGGAAGATGCATAGACGAATTAACCAGTCAGGAATTCATGCACGATAGACGCGGGGGGACGCCGGGGACTTACATGGTCGGCGTCCAACGAAGACACCATGGGTTTCCTGTGATATGAGTCAGGGACGCGTGACTCGCGTACCTGCATTTATAAAGGGCGACTGAGCGATGTTAAACAAGTCTGTTTTCCGGACTTCTTCACCTTTCCGTTCCATCAGCCAAGGTCTAATTGAGTGTAAAGTGGAACTTCGTCAACTGATGTAGCTCTTGCGCCGAGCATCAATCTAAGTGTGTGTGTGTGTTTGAACCCTTTGGAATCACAGGAAACCGTTGATTTGTGACTTCGTTTCGTGCTTTTCTTGATAAATAGCAGGGGGCTCTTGGAGCCTGCGTGAGACGAGAGCCAACGAAGGCAATCATGCAGCGCTTGTGCAAACGTACCTGCTGTTGACCGCGCCTGGGCATTCAAGCGCGGCTGGTGGGTCCTATGTTGTTCAAGAACTTCAGCCCTCGCACCGGTTTCGTGCTCAGATGTGCGCGATCGCCGTCATCCTGTCGCTCTCGCCCGCTTTTCGAGCTCTTCGAGTCTGGTGGACTCTCATGGAGGTTTTGTTTGAGGCTCATGGTCAGACTTGGTGTCTTAGGTTTTTACTTATTAGGCCGGCGTGTGGGAAACCGCGATCGAGTGAGTACGCAGTGTGGCAGCGGGTCGTGAAACAAAGCAGCAGTTTTCCTAAGAGCGAAGCTTAGGGTCTTCTGCCATATAGTAAAGATCGACTCAGGCACTGCAACAGGAGCAGCTTCCGGAGCAAGTTCTGGGGCAGGTTCCGAAGCAAGTTCCGGAGCAGGGTCAGAAGCTAGCTTCGGAAGATTCCAGAGCCAGTTCCGGAGTGGGCGCCGGAGCAATTTCCGGAGCAAGCTCCAGAAGAGCGGTTTGGCGCCAGTTCGGAGTGCAAGTTGGGCTCCGAACGGATTCTGGAAGAAGTTACTGCAACCTTTTGCATTTGCCTGGCTGCGCCCACCTTTCAATCCCTCAGCAGCCAGCTCACAGCACCGGCGCCCGCGGCCAGCGCCAGCACCCTGTCTCGAAAGCCAGCTCATTTTTCTTTGAAGTAAGAACCCCGCAGCTGTCGCTATCGGGTGAAAATTTTGTTTTTGATCCAGTGCGCTCACAGACCCTAACACCACCGCAAGGCCGACGCACATATTTAGGATAAAAGGTTCTTGAACTGAATGGATTGGCTGCGTATATAATAGGTGGCTCCTGTCAGTATGATTGCGTATTGGGTTTCGAACCGTGCAGATGGAAGCAGCTTTGGAGCGCTTCTCTCCCGAAAGCTTGCGAGAGCGATGGTAGCTTGGTTTTTTTTGCAGGCTGCAGCTCGCAGTCACGCGTCAGCTGGTACCGCACTAAGGTGGTATTTGCGAAGCAGGCTGGCCATGCCTCACCAGAAGGCACTGGGGTTGCAGGGCGACACAGGCATCGGCGCCCATGACCGGAGATGGTTCTTGCAGTATTTTGTTCCAGAGGCATGTGTTCTGCGCAGAGTATACAGCCTTGCTGTTTGTTGCGCAGGCGACGAGTTCGGTTGCGCAGGAACCAGCGCGAGGTGCTTTCAAATGCCATTGAAATTATCAGAGCTGTTTGCGAATATAGTTGCGGCCTTGGGCAATGAGCGACGCCAGATCGGGTGTTGGAAGCAATGCAAAATTTTCTGTTTGGATTGCCCAAACCTCGCATGCTGCAACCTCAGAACTGCCTTGTTAGAGGTGTGCAATTTTTTAACCCATTAAGGAACCCAGAATCACGGGAAACTGCTCTTGAGCCAGGCGCCGAGGCTCAAGACTAATGAAGTTGGATCGTGTCACAGGATTGCGCGGTGAAACAACCTGCAACCCTTCACTTTGGGGAGGGTAGTTGGCGCAGGCTGAACAGGCGTTTGCAGTTCCTACTGGCCCGGGTGAAGCGGTCGGGGCGCTCACGTTGCTGTCGGACTTTTGGTAGTAGCGCGCAACTCGCAGCCGTTTCTTCGAGGCACCACCACATGCTTCAGATGCAGAAGACATATACGCGAAGCAATCCATCAAGGAACCTGCTGGCGCAGGCAAGCGATGCCAAGCGCTTTTGCCATTCCAATCAACATTATGTTCAGAACAAGTTTTTGTTCCGCGTGGCTTAGTAAGTTCACGGTGTACTTCAGCAAACTTTACCTCCCTCTGTGTAACAGTTTGCGCCTGTGCGCGCAAGACATGAAAATTGCTGGCGCATCTGGGACAAAAGACAGGCAGAACGTGAACGCCACAAGCTTTCATGTGGCATACTCTGACCGAAGGATCCTTTGTTAGTTTTGGAGGTCGGAGGTGAGTGAACAAGGAATAACTTAGTGCGCAAGTCTTGTGTTCTAGGAGCCCAGGAGGGAATGCGCATTTTTTTGTATGAGTTAATTTGCCTTTATGTCAGGCTCGTGTTCTTTGATTCTTCGCTGCGCCACTGGAAACTACAATTTTCCGTCGCGGGGAAGATGCTTCTAATCGAACTTTTGCCTGACAACTTCGTGGTTGTTAGTGTGAAAGATTAGCAGTATGCATCCACACCACTTCGCTGCCTTGCGTTCTTTTACTTCAACAAAATTGAGCTTAATAGCTTTTGAATTGAGACCATGGCCACAGGAAAGGACCTTTTCATGAGACAAGCATAGTAAACGCACATGCTTTTGTCAGCTGTGGCGCAGAGCTGTACCCGTGCACGTGCTTCCATGGCTTCGGGCGTTGACCACCCCTGGGGCTTCCCTTTGCCGAGGACAAGGCGACTCATGACATCAATGGCGGCGACGCCGCGGGCTTGGAGGAAGTCCTGCGTGTGGGAGGATGATCATCCTTCTCCCCATGCCTCCACCTCTTCAAGCTCTTCGACGCCAAGACTGTGAGCAATGATGAAGTGTGCAGAGTGCGTTTTTGGAGCGGCCGATGATGACCAGTTTCGGCCCTCCCCCAAACGTATGGACGCAGCTGGTTTCGATATAGTATTCCGGGGTATTCCAACTGGCGTGTGGACAACAAGGGCAAGAACCCCAGCTGAACGGCGCGGCTGAATCTACGCCCACGCCAAGAATGAGCTTCAGGTGTTCCAGCAATGGAAAAGAAGCTCGCTATCTGGAAGCCCATGATGGTGAAGGGCATCTACCTAACGCGCAAATTCCTGCACGAGTTCGATGAGCGCTGAAGTTGAGGCTGACGGATGATATTTGTCGCAACCGGCCAATCGCTTTGATACCAGGCATCCAAGACGCGGCCAAATTTAATTTCTTGACAGGTGACTCCGCCCCTTGCCGTCGTCTTCATTTGGGACTTGCCAGGGCTATGGCAGAGACCCCTGAAGGACAGGGGCCCGAAGATGGTGATTCTTTGCCGCCTGAGGGCGAGTCAGGTGGCGTAGGTGACCTCCCCGATAAAGGGGAAAGCGATGAGGATGAGCGCCTTGGCCGCCCACTGTCTCTCGGTCACCGCGCGGAGGCTGCCCGGCCGCCGACTTGGTCGAAAGTTCAGTGAATAGAAGGAACGCAAAAAGGAAGCAATGAACCGATTGTTCATGGTGTTTCTTATTTAGGAGGCAGTGTTACACCCACAAGCAATAGCATTGCTGTATACTAAGCCAAAGCAGGTTTACTGTTGGCGATAGACATTATGTAAGAGAAGAAGACGATGGAGCAAACAAGAGACTGAAATTTCATGCTGATGATGGTGGTGATAATTTTACATTTTTGAGCAGTGAGTTGTTAGAAAGCAGTAGAGTAGTAGATATTATAGCAGGCAATCTTGTTAGAGGCATTCAAGCGCATAAATCTTGGGCAATGAAAAAGCAATGGCGTTGACGCTTATGACAGATAATAGCAACCATTGCATATTCAAGAGCAACAGCGAACACTTTTTTAGGGGTAACGTTGATGGAACTATTAAATGGATGTTTTTCACTGGAGGTGACGGGAATTCGGAAGGACTGCGCTGTCAAACCACCTATTACAAGCATAGGGGCAGGGGCATATGTAAATAAGTCTATATACTAATATATCTGGCTCTTGTCCATCAGATGCAACGTATACAACACCAATGGTGATTTAATGTGCTATTGCAGCTTTGCATTTTACGACAAAGATGATGTAAATTGTCCTTTTGGTATATATATATATATGTATATTCGATATTGATGTTGCATACTGTAAAATATTGCTAATTTCATTCAGTGATAGGAAAGCAGGGCACACAAAATTGACAGTCGCAATAGTTTAGAACAAATGGACTGTTTGGAAGTACTACGGAACACAGTACATGTTTTGTGAGAATTCATATGTTTTATGACAACTCTGCTACTCGCTTTCAAACTGATGTTGAGACAAGTGTAATAGGACACGCAAACGTGTCAGCGACATTTAAAACCAACGCCTTGGATAGTTATAGCGCCAATCATGCCCTTCAAATACAATGGAACTACCTTCTGTGGTATGACTTTTCAGTAACGCAACTCCAATTTGAGGCTGACCTATTTACTGCTAATGGCATCTCTTGCTCCAACCCGACTGAAATGCCAGACAAAAGATTGAAAGAAAACGTTGAAGATGTTGAGACAGTGAGCTAGTGAAAAAGATCAAGGTCGCAAATTGTTGTATGAAAAGTGATGAAAAGAAACACCAGGTTGTTTTTTGTTACAGGTGAAAACCGAGAAGTCACACCGCCTGATGTGGAGATACAATAAATTCAGAAAATGAGTTCAAGAGTGTAAATGATAATGCAAGAGTGTAAATGATGGTAGATTCACAGCAGTGCTCTGGAAAACGTTTCAAAAGCTGGAAAGGGAAATGGCGGAGTTGAAGAAACAAAAGAATAAACCTAAATCAGAACCTGAATTTCATTATTTAATGGGTAACCTGTTCAATAAAGAAGTGAGAAAGAAGCAAAAAAAGATAAATCTATCAAAGTCATCGAGTATGATTTTGACAGTGAATACATCAGGAAGAGTGAATTAAATCACTTACAAATTGCCAGCGGTGAAAAATGGTTCATAATTCATTGATTTAATGGAGCGTGTTAGCTGAACGGAACGTATTTTATATAGTTAAAACCAACCATAGTCGTCCTACCAAATCGTATTATTTAAAAATAGGTGATACTATTTTCCATCAGATTTACAAACAAAACTGTACTTCTCTCCCGTGGCTTTTTCATATATCTCCAATATAACTTTTTGCTTCCATATATAAGAAGATTTTTGACTAGCAATGCGGAGAGTTCTTCAATCATGGAAGAAGAGTTGTTTGTTAACTCTGATGGTTGGTAAGCCGTTGAACTTCTGTGTTGATGAAACGATGTCGAAACCGAAACGCCTGCCTCTGATGAGCAAACTGTTGTGCCTTGAAAAGCGGGTATCGCCGGCAAAATCCTTTTTGTGCGATTAAGACACTGAATAGTTGCTGAAATCATTGTTTTTCTGGTATTTGGTTATCTTGTGTTGTAAGCCTGGGATGTTTTCTCTTTTGGTGTCTAAATTGAAAAATGTTCCCCAGCGAAATCTTTAACAGGTAGCCAGTCTTTCCATTTTCAGACAGGACGGCAACGATCTGTGAGAATGGGATTCTTGGAGCTACCTCATATTTGGATTCTTGGGATTCATATTCTTTCAGTCTTGCAGGTTTTACAGCAGTATGTTGTTGTTCATTTTGTTCAAGATATTTAGAAATAGAAGTGTACCAACTAGTTTTGATGGTGAACAGAAGAGGGCATCAATCAAACAATCCACCAAATCCGGCCAGTCGCGCGAAATCATTTGTTTCAAAGGTGCTCTGCCACGTTGAATCTCATAGTTCAATGACATACAGAAATATATATATATATATATTGATGCTTAAAAGTGTTTTCTTAACTTATATGAGTACCCGACAGAATTACCGTGAGCCAGCAGTAGTCTTCGGCTGGGCATCGTTTTTTGAAAAATGATGTGACAGCAAAACCATAGGGGCCCACCCTCTAACATGGGCGATGGCCCGCCCAAAACCGATACCCCAAAGAGTTGTAGATGCGTAGCAAAACCTGAGACTGATAGGGTGCCACCAAAATACCCTTTAAAGAGATACCGAAACCTGAAAACCGATAGGGGCCCACCCAAATTATAAACGTCCTTTGCGGGTAACAAGTAATATTGTTCGACATTCATATAGTTATTATTTATACGGTTCAGGTTTCTGACGCACCAATTGAAAGCGCGACAAAGAAAAGAAAGACATGACTATCAAATCTGGTCAAAAGTGCAAATGATAGTAAGAGTGATGAAAAATGATAAAGGAAGATGTGGATGAGATTAAACAAAAGATGGTGAGACAGAAAAACCAACAAAGCCATTGAGCAAAAGGGCGTCGGCAGACCTGCAGGCTCTTTTGAAACCAAGCTAAAACAGTTTGTTGAAAGTTAAAGGCGCGATTAAACAACTTGAGAAGAGTTTGGGCTCTACCGGATGGCAAGGGATAAGGACAACAAATATTACCTCTGGCCTGATGAACAATGATTGGTTATCTGCGTAATTTTCATATGACTAGTTTCATTTAGCGGGATGGGTTCGGTTGGCGAAGTTGCCAAAAGTTTAGGTCATTCTGTGATCCCCTTGGGTCTGAAGGATGCGAGTTTGAATTGCGACATGCTCCAATGGAACTACAACAGTTTTGACATAGATTCGATTTGATTTGGGCATCTCCACCATAGCAAAGCAGACAGGACAGAGAACAATTGAGGAAGCTAATGAAATAGTGTCGGTCCGGAGGTCGCAGCCGTTTTGCGGTTGAAGCCGGTCTCAATGAATGCTCACGGCGCTGGAACTGTGGCTTTGCCACTGCCCCTCATCGATGGTTTCCGACAATCAGATGCTGGCAGAAGAGCTTCGCTCACTGGCTCTCAGGGTGGTCAATGAGATGCGCGCTTCACAGATCCGACGAGCGCTACTTCGGAAGACCAAGCCCAATCGAGAAGAAGTCCAACAAATCCTTCCCGGAGCCCCTTCCACTTTCTGGAGATGGTCTAAGAGGACCGGTGGCAAGAAGCGTGGTATCTATGTCCTCGGCCG